GATCTTTCGCAGTCTTCCGCTGACTCCTGGTGAAGTGTTCAATTGTCTGGAAATCATACGCTGACTTTTGTGGAAGTGCTAATGTATATATTTTCAGCATATTCTTGTGTTTTCTCTGAAAATCCGTTGCAATGTTTATAATATGTTTACAATAATTTTATTGCTTGAACTTGTACATACCAGTGACTTTTTTTTCGTGACTTCTTACATGTACATGTATATGATGTAATAGTCATATTTGATCTTCATATTAGTCCGGCAGTCATTTCGTGTTTAACGATAAGTTATTTTTTTAATTACACCCTATGAGCATAGATGTTTGCTTAACGTCCAGCGGCAAATTAATTTACATATTCAGGACGAGAACTTGTTAATGTAATATGAATATAAACCCTGCTTTGTACTAGACCGACACACTGCATGATCCGGATTTTTAACGTGCTTGTCCACAAAGTAACTGTCCGCAGGAAGACATGTTACCTTACCCGCACACATTATTCTGACTCCGAGCCAACCAGTCTTTGCTCTTACTCCTTAATGCCGCGTGCTTAGCGGAGATTAGCGGAGAAGCAGCAAATACCAATTTTAAAGTCTTTGGTTTGACCCGGCCGCGGTTCGAACCCACGACCTCCCGCACTCGAGGCGAACACGCTACCACCAGACCACCGATGTCGTCAATGAATAATGACTACTCCATAGATATAGGAGGATGTGGTATGAGTGCCAATGAGACAACTCTCCATCCAAGTTACAATTTATAAAAGTAAACCATTATAGGTTAAGGTACGGCCTTCAACACGGAGCATTGGCTCACACCAGTATACTTACATGAAATCCCGCGCAACATCTTGGCTATGCATGTCTGGTACTAATCATTGCTAATAAAAGGTTACATCCAAGTAATCACATGACAATACTTGAAGTTACTACCACCCCGTCTTTTAAGCTATTGACCTCAATACCAAAGAAATATGTCTATTTGATATACAAAATAGGACATTAGGGGTAAGCCAAATGGGAAAAAAGGTCAAAAACAAAAAGACATGAATCATCTAACCTATATTTTATTAAGGTACGAATTCAAACCCCATACACACACATTAAGGTATGACAAAAGACGATCTGTAACGAGATTTCCGACTTTGGTTTGGTGTTTGCTTGACTCTTCATTTTTAGTATGCCTATTACTAGCAAGTTGGAGTCTTGGTCTTCGAGATTAATATTCCACTTTCTATAGGAAAACGGAAAACCAATCTTGTAACTCAAAGTCCAGTGACAAATATTTTACGCAGAAATTTTCATGACAAGAACAAGCATATATTTTCTCAAATGATTTATTTAGAATAATGTTGTAATTCAACGTCCAGGGTCAACTGTTTCATACATGCACGTAGCCATTTATGACAAACATAAATTATACAGTTTATGAAATTGTTTGATATGCAGACAACCAAGAGAAAGAGAATTATAATCTTTCTGTCGCATTAAACAATCATCAACTGGGTGGATTCGAAAATAAGAATCTTATATTAAAATATCAACAGAACAGGTTAAGAACACATTGCGAATCGCATTTTCAAAACATGCGCATTGGTCTACAATATTAGAGGGTGTGGATAGGGGTTTACAGAATAGAGTATAATGGGCAAAAATATATAAAGAATGGAGAAAAATAGACCAAAAAAATAAAGAATAGAGAATAATGAGGTGCTTAAATATAAAAAATTATAGAGAATGATGGGCAAAAAGTATAAGGAATAGAGAAAAATGGCATACAAAATTAAAGAATACAGAAATGGAGGACCCCTCCCCCAATCCAGACCCACATATTAACCATTCCAAATCAGACTCAACGTATAAAAAGTTGCACCATATTAATAATAGTATGAATCATGTTAAATAATGAAATATTTACACTAAACTGCGGATTTCCTATTTTTCTAACGTTTATTTACAATGTAGTACATATATCCGAATGCTTGTGACATACATTTTAGAATTCGATATGTCTGATATAAGCCCAAATATGGTTTAAATACCCTCTATTTTGAATGTACAATAGTTTTAAAATAAAACAGGCGAGACAATTTCCAATAGACAGTTAAATATTTCCTTATGTAAGGTAATTTTATTGACGCCGTATTGATTCAAATGCGTACTTTAAAAAAACCTGTTGTTCTAGTTATACAAAAACATCATTAAAATATCAGTTTGCTTTAATATTTTTGATCCCATATACGAAACAAATCATTAAATAATACAATTTTCATCTTCCATATTGAACCATTATTTTGATATAACATAGATGTTTATTGTGGTTCAATATAATATTACAATAAGGAGATGTGGTATGATTGCCAATGAGACCACTACCCACCAAGTTCAAATGAAGTGGATGTAAGCAATTATAGGCAACTTAGTAATTCTTAATTAGCAGTTGTTGGTCTTCTTTCGCCTTCATATTCATCAGTTTTTTTTTATTGTTAGTCTTAAATTTTCTGTTCTTCTTCCTTGACCTGTGGAATCAACGCGCAGATTATGACAATCTTTGTGAAACCATAGGGTTTTAAAAGTTTTTTACCAACCGAACCAAATACAGTTGATGCCGTATTCAAACATACAATTTGCCACTGAACGTGAATTAAAAATAAGCAACCAACAATCAATCAATCAAACATACATTTCCGATATTGTAAACAGAAAAGTTTGATATAATATTGCAACACTTTCTTGTATGTACAATACAACTACAAAAACAAAAACAAAACGATATGTGGTATATGATTTTATATTAATCATACGATTGCGAATGATAATAAAAACAAGGATTATAGTAGCTAATGATACATCTAATACTGTTTTGAATATATGATGATCTCACGTGTAGAACATTTTATTTTTCTGAGAAAAAAATAAATAAAATGTGAACTTGATATACATAGATAATAGTTCGAAACATGTACAAACCATATTCAATGTAAAGGTACCTACCGTAAAGGAGATGTATAATTATCACTTTTCGACACTAGAATCGATAAGTTGAAGTGCAATTCGGTAATATTTGGGATAATTTAATGTATGACGTTAAAGGAGCATGGACTGCGCAAGTTGATTGCAAATGACAAACGAGGTCGCGATGAGAACAAGCTGTTTCAGACTCAGAACATAAACAAGACAACACTCAGACTTAAACGAAAAATGAAGTAAATTTAAATCAGACATTCTAATATGACTTTCTTCAAACGCTTTGAGTACACACCCGCGTGTGGTAAAATTCAAATATATTCAAGTCATCTGATAGTCAACGTCATGATTTGTTAGGGTTGTTCCAATCCTACTCCCACGTCGTATGCTTTTTATGAATGATTTACCTCACGTCAGATGGTGTAAATGACGCCATTGAACGATGACGTAAGAATGTAAGGGTTTTACGGGAAAATGCACGAATGGGAAACTGAGTCCTCAAAACATGAAAATTTAAACAAACGATAGTAAAACAGTTTGTATAATGTCCATATCTTCTTAAATGAAAGTAAGATAGTCAATTAAATTCATTCAAATCTATCTTAGTATGTTATTGTATATCGTTTAAGAATGTCACTTATTCAATTTTCTTCGTCGTTTACGTCAATATTAAAAGTGTGTTCAATTTCGGGAACAGCAAACATTTCCCTTCACATAAAGCGCTTCGATCAAAAATAATTGCTGTCTTTGTCCTATTAGGATAGAAATAATTCATGCGTGTTTGAATTTATATTGATTTTACCACGGGTTAGTGCTTTGTGCTAATATTTTACCCCTCGCTGTCGCTCGGGGTAAAATATTTAGCATAAAGGGCCAACCCGTGGTAAAATCACGATAAATTTAAGCCCCCATTAATTATTTCTTAAGCATTTAAAGCACACAAAATATATACCGATTATCAAAGTTCAGCACGGGATTATGTTTTTACAAACATATTTTGGAAACCTCTAGTCTTCTTGTTTATGGCGGGTGGGAAGGGGCGGGGTAAGTGGGACGAGAATGTTAATTTTCAGTAATAGTATACATTGTACAATTTTGTTAATGGTATACCATCTTAATTGATTCGTCGTGGTCAGCTAATCCAGCAGAGATGTCTGACTAAAGAAAAATCTTCAGTCGTGTAAAAGAATTTTATTCCATATTGATAGAACTTTAGTAGGTTTTTCTATATGAATGGGATTTTGAATAAATAAGCATATTCACCTGCGGAAAAAGTATATTCACCGCGCAAAACGTCGCGTGCTTTTACGTGTATAATAACGATACAATGTTTGACGTTTAGTTGGTTTTGGCAAATAACTGTTATTTTACACATATATTTCTGTCTCGGAACATGGAATAAAACAATAACTGTCTTTTGTTTCGGTAAATATGTGGTTTAATTGACTTTTGAAAAACCTAGTGACATTCTCTTCGGCCGTTGGCCTCAGTGAATATCAGTTTTTCAAAAGTCAATAAAACCACACATTTACCTCATCAAAAGACAGTAATTGTATATTATTCCATATTGATAGAACTTTAGTAGGTTTTTCTATATGAATGGGATTTTGAATAAATAAGCATATTCACCTGCGGAAAAAGTATATTCACCGCGCAAAACGTCGCGTGCTTTTACGTGTATAATAATGATACAATGTTTGACGTTTAGTTGGTTTTGGTAAATAACTTATTTTATACATATTTTTCTCGCTCGGAACATGGAATAAAACAATTACTGTCTTTTGTTTCAGTAAGTATGTGGTTTAATTGACTTTCGAAAAACCTAGTGACATTCACTTCGGCCGTTGGCCTCAGTGAATATCAGTTTTTTAAAAGTCAATAAAACCACACATTTACCTCATCAAAAGACAGTAATTGTATAATATTTTTGACACCATGTATATACTAGATTCCGAAAAGACCATAGGACACATAATTTCCGGATAAATGTGGTTTTAAACAGGAAATGTTTTGTTTATTTGTTTAAATGAATGCAAATTCGATCTATCGCATATAGCTGTGATGTAACCCACTATCCTGGACAATTGCAGCTCATGTTAACATGAAGGGAATACATGTTTTCATAATTAAATATTGTTTGCAATTTTTATATGTGAGCAGACGAACAGGTAAATAATTTTGATTTTTAAAGAAAAGAGGGTGATGGTAAATAAACATGTAGTTTTGACTGGTTGGTAGGATTGTTACTAAAATAAAAATTTAAAAAAAAACTATCCCAAAATCGACTTATTGTACGAAATTGTTAATTACAATATAGTGAAATAATAATAATTATAACAATGACAATATGTTATGCTTAAGTAGTTAAGTTTAGTGAATAGCACTTGATATGATATATCATTCGGCAATATGCATCTCAAATATAGAAACGTTTTTTTTAAACATATTTTATTTCAACATATTTTATAGAACGTATCTCGAACTGCAACTTATCTCCAAATCACTATGATGATAAACCAAAGTAAAACTGTAACGAACGACTCGAGTTCCCTTGAGACTGGAGGAAGCATCTAAGCGCACCATAACCTTGACTTATAAAACAACATGTATCAAAATAATTCTATAAATGTACTTTCACTGATTGTTTGGCTTTTAAAAGCCATTTTGTTGTCCAAATATTTCACTGTCTTTATGATTGACTGATGATTGATTTACGTCTCGTGAAATTATGTCATTCTTATTATGAAACAATGAAACAAAGGATCGTCATAAAATATAAACAATACAGTAGTCACATAGATTTGTATCCCTTTGAATTCAAAATATTAGGCAACTATGTTTTGTATTTTGTATTCTTAAATCTAATTTAACTGTAGGCTATACTATATGGATAAGCCAAAAGCAAATGACCTGGGTTGAAAGCTTCAATTACTGTAAACTTAGTACCGAAAAAGATGTCAAATTGTTTAACGCCAGATATACCGCATGGGGTAGTGGAGTATACCTTAACACACGTTGGATGATTCACAAAGGTAAAGTTAATGATTTTAAAGTACCTTCTGTTTTGGTAGTAACAAAATAACAATATCAATGTCATTCATACATGTACATGTATGTAGCAATAACAATCGCTGCACATGCATACGAAGTCTCTGTGTAAATAGTTCAGAGATACTGAGTCAAGTATTCCAAATCTTCTAGGTTGTAAAGAGATGCGTTCGACTCGGTACTTAATTGACAAGGATTGGACTAATTTTCCAGCCAAAGGTTATTGGTTCTCTCCGGGTACGCAAGCTTCCTCCACCAACAATAACCAATCGCCATGATATAGACAAGGGCGCAGGAAGTGTTGTTAAACATTCACAAACAAACACACAACCAAACAAACACAAAGACAGGTATCGAAACGATGGGTAAAATCTCTCATCCAATAATTTTTGTGTGAATAATTAAACAGAAGCTATTAAAGATCCCCAAATTCTCTAAATTTGCAAAAAAGAAAAAGCAAAACATATTATTAACGACAACGACTGACTAAGGACAGTCACATAAACATTTTGTTCCTCAATAGAAGTCAACATACAGCTTTAAAAAATAGAAACGGATTAAACCCTTAATTTTCCTAAGTCTAAATAAGTATAGTTCTAAGGACCTACATCAAAGAATTGGCATTTATACACAAAATTTACAAGGGAAACACAAACCATGTTTGTAAGTACTCAACCTGGGACAGTGGTGTAACGGCACAACAAAAGAACAAACTAAAAATCAGTTGCAAATGACTTAACTCAATAGATCGGTACGAAGCACACAAAAAAATACCGACTAGCATAAAAATAATAGATAAAAAGCACCGATATTTTTTTTTATCTCTGTTACAAAAGAGTTCGATTATAAAATATAAAGTTCAGTATTTTTTTTAGACTTCACTGCAAACATCTGCATATGGAATCAACCGAGAAATTCAAAATACAACCAAACAATATCACCAGCAAAAAAAAAAGTGGTTCTTTTTATAATAAATGTTGGAAGGACAATACTTATTCTGTCAACACAACTGTTTTCAAGTAATTTGGATTTCATTTTCATTCTAATGCTTGTAGGTGAAGTGAAACAAAAAGAAATTTCCTAACATATATGATAAATACAAGTTCTGCCTCCTCTTAACCCTTCTCCTTTAAAACGATAGAGTTCATAGGTCACAACAACAATAATGACATTGAACACTTTAAATTCCACAGTGTATAACAATAGAAAGATGGGCAGATAAGTATATTTATTATTATATATTCAAGGCTGTTACAAAAGTTCAGATGCAGTTGACAGTAAAACCGTCAAGGCCATAGCACAGAACTCTCCATCACTTTGTTCTTCTGAATGTGAAATGAGTTTACATTTTGCACTGAAGGTAATTTATAACTTTGTTCGAAAGAACATTCCAATCTGCTGTCTAATTTTTAAGTAATTTCGATGGTCGTTGTATACATTTTATTGCATAGAAATTGAACATTCTTTTCGACTTTTACCTGACGACTATATTGAATATATGTTTCCGATATAATGTTCCGTAATGCAAATATTCTTTATTCCCGTGGGCAAATGTTTCAAAATTTGTTTTTTGTTTTGATTTTGGGTTTTTTTATTCTTTTATCTGAGATGTATTCAATTCGCCTTTTCAGAATCTAATGCATTCTGGATAATATTTTCAAAAGTGTACACCAAGACGTCGTGATTGGTTAAAAACGTTCTATTTATATTGTATCATAGATCAAATTTATTTGTTCAGTGTATGTTCACTGGTGTTAATATGTCTTTTTATTGAGTTAAGCCATTTCAATTGATATTTTATAGTGTGTCTTTCTATGTTGTGATGTTACACTATTGTTTCAGATAAGGGTGAAGGTTTGGTAGCATTAAAACGTTTAAACCCGCTGCAATTGTTTGCACCTGTCCTAAGTCAGGAATCTGATGATCAGTAGTTGTCGTTTCTTGATGTGGTTCATAAGTGTTTCTCGTTTCTCGTTTTTTATATAGATTAGACCGTTGGTTTTCCCGTTTGAATGGTTTTACATTAGTAATTTTTGGGGCCCTTTATAGCTTGCTGTTCGGTGTGAGCCAAGGCTCCGAGTTGAAGACCGTACTTTGACCTATAATGGTTCACTTTTATAAATTTTGACTTGGATGGAGAGCTGTCTCATTGGCACTCATACCACATCTTCTTATATCTATAAACAATGGAAGTTCAACCAATGACGTGACGTTATTTTGATTTTGGTGTACCAACAATAAAATTACCCATAGGCCTTTAGATTCTTAAACGGCCAATTAGAACACAACAATTCCCTAAAATCTGTATTTCATTCATTTACGAATAAATGATTTCATTAATAAACAAGCAAGTACATGTGTCGGCAAATTAGTTGGATTATAGAAGAAGAATTATTTCAACCCGAATAAACAAATAAATACAGTCATGTTTAAAAATACAAAATAATCAGCCAGCCAAATAGGCTTATGATGTACTTTCTAATAAGAATAGTCTATTCTGAATCATGAAAATGATTTTTGAAACAAAATTTAAGTTTGTTACTAATATGAAAGAAAAATGAAAACGCATTTACAAACAGATGTCATAAGATAGGTTTGGTAGTTTATACACACTATATAACATTCCGATGTGCTTTTGCATAACAATTGATGCAGTCACGGTCAGTGGTAAATTCAGTGATTACTTTTTTAATAGGGTCATGCATTTTTTGCATTGCAAATTCACACATATATATATATTATCACAATTATAAACTAAAAGTGTTGTGAGCAAAATTCCATGCTTTAGTAAGAAAAACCGCAAAAATAATTGACATCAAAAACAAAATAGGAGATGGAATTTGGTTTTATATGGTGAAGATTCTGAGGAAATTTGATCAAATTCTGATTTAGCGCTAAGGGCGAGATTGGGTAATAAATGCAGACTGTGTGGTCCACAAGGTTTGCTGAAGGAAACTGCGAAAATGAGTCTGATAATAAAACAGAAAGTGAACAATAACATTATATCTGTATCAATTAATCTGTATCTGTATAAATCTGGAAATGAACTAAAAATTGCCGAGTAAAACTTATCCAGGATGTGTGTGTGCGCCAATGTTCAAACTAGTCGAGCGAAATAATAGCTTTAAAACTTTCCACTGTTTTTAAATTCAATATGATGTTCGGTGGGAATGGCTACCATATCGTTCAATATTTTGTACAATAGTACAAGACGCTGTTCTCGCCTCCCTTCCACAAGAGGTTTCCATCCAAGGTCCTTCATCATTGAGATGACACTACTTGTTCGCCTATAGTCATTGCATTGGAACCTAGACGCCTTCTTTGTACGCTCTCTATACGGTTCATGTGTCTCTGTAGATATGGGTCCCATACAGTGCAGGAGTAATCCAAAGTCTTTTGTAGAAGAAACGCGCGTCTGGCGTACAAAATTTGAATCCTGGTATCTATGATGAGTTTATCCAGAACTGGTCGAACAAAAGAAATGTAGGCAGTTTCTTTAAATTGCTGGTTGCAGTGTTTAAGGTTCCTTCAGCTAAATCCCGATGTAGAGCTTGCTTTATTGCAGATTTTATTTATGTGAGATGACCATTTCAAATGATCGCTAATATCGTTTATACTTAAATATGGATTTTTACTGACTTGTTTTAGAACATGAATTCTGAGACTATAACTTGTGTGTCAACGGGGACCTGCTACAGTGAATTGACATGACATAGCACGTACAAGCGTTAAAACGCATTCCCAGTCTTTTGCCCATCTATTCAGTGATTCTAGGTCTTTCTGTGTTTGAAGTTGGTCCCGTAATGAATGTATGGTGTTGTACAAAGGCAGTCATTGGTAAACACACGTACCTGTGATTTTACACAGAGCGATAAGTCATTCATGTGATATAGGAAAAGAGGGGCCAAATGATAGTCGAGAGAGACAGATAAAAATACTCTCCTTCGACAACGACTCGCTGATGACTTTGCATTAGGAATAATTAAATCCATGCATTTTTATTACCATCAATTCCATAGTTTTTTAGTTTATGTAGTAGTTTTTGGTCGGGTACAGTGTTGAATGCCTTACAAAAGTCAAGTACAATAAGATCAAATTGCTTCTTGGCATCGAAATATTTTATGAAAAAAATAGTTATAAGAAGCTGACTTTCACAGAAATGGCCATTACGGAAGCCATTTGGAAGTGATGTAAGTATATCATATCTCTAGGTAGTTCAGGATATGGTTGCACACTATGTGTTCAAGACGTTTACAGCAAACACATGTAAGCGACACAGGTCGATAATTTGCCACTGTATGTATATCTCCTTTTTTTAAATATCAGGCTATTGTTCGCATTTCTCTTGTCAGATGGAAGTTTACCCGAATCTAGACTAAGTTGGAATATATGACTTACTACTGGGGCTAGTTCAATTGCACTTTGTTCGAAAGAACATTCCAATCTGCTGTCTAATTTTTAAGTAATTTCGATGGTCGTTGTATACATTTTATTGCATAGAGATTGAACATTCTTTTCGACTTTTACATGACGACTATATTGAATAATTATATGTTTCCAATATAATGTTCCGTAATACAAATATTCTTTATTCCCGTGGGCAAATGTTTCAAAATTTGTTTTTTGTTTTGATTTTGGGTTTTTTTTATTCTTTTATCTGAGATGTATTCAATTCGCCTTTTCAGAATCTAATGCATTCTGGATAATATTTTCAAAAGTGTACACCAATACGTCATGATTGATTAAAAACGTTCTATTTATATTGTATCATAGATCAAATTTATTTGTTCAGTGTATGTTCACTGGTGTTAATATGTCTTTTTATTGAGTTAAGCCATTTCAATTGATATTTTATAGTGTGTCTTTCTATGTTGTGATGTTACACTATTGTTTCAGATAAGGGTGAAGGTTTGGTACCATTGAAACGTTTAAACCTGTCCTAAGTCAGGAATCTGATGTTCATTAGTTGTCGTTTGTTGATGTGGTTCATAAGTATTTCTCGTTTCTCGTTTTTTATATAGATAAGACCGTTGGTTTTCCCGTTTGAATGGTTTTACATTAGTAATTTTTGGGACCCTTTATAGCTTGCTGTTCGGTGTGAGCCAAGGCTCCGAGTTGAAGACCGTACCTTAGTTTTAGTACTTTGTTTGCAATGACGTCTGGTACACTAGCTTTGTTGGTATTTAAGTTTCTCAGTAGTTTTTTTTTAACTCTTTGAACATCGATGTTTATGTTTCTAATACTGGGATATTTCGATTCCTGAATCTGTGGTAATGGTTTTGATGCGTTTTCCATGGTAAAGACTGACTTGAATAGTTCGTTTAATAGCTCTGCCTTAGCTTTGCTGTCCTGATATAGTATTTTGTTCTTTTAAATTCCAGCTACACCTGTGCTATAGTACGTTTTGACTTAATGAATCGCCAGAAAGGTTTACAATTACCTTCCTTTATTGCTGCTATAGTCCTGAACATGCATGAACTATTTGCCACTTGACGTTAAGCAACCAACTATCAATCATCCTTTAGCGTTGTATCAAGTACCTTGTTAAAATGTTGCCAGTGAGCTTGCCGGACTGCTTTTTGGGTGACTCGCCTTTGTAGTTTGTATTTTCCCCAGTCTTTGGGATTTTCTGTGGTCAACAGAGGTTTGAAAATTTACTATTGAGCCGAATTTTTGACTTTACACAACTTAGATGGTTTGTCAGATATAGTTCAAGGATGTTATTTTCACGACTTGGATTAAATTGTAGTTGTTCCATGCCAAATTTTTCAATGACTCATATTGTTAAATTTATAAGAGAGTTTAAGAGATTGTAATAAGGGTTAAGGAGGAGTTGCGAATACAAAAAGGGTACCTCCAAAATGTGTGCTATAATGTGCAGATATGACTATGGCCATGTCATCCCAAAATTAACCCCAAATATCGTTCAGAGTACAGAATGAAATACGATGTGCAAAAGTTATGTATGATTAAAAATTTGTAAAAGTTTCAAATAATCCTGTCAAGTAGTTAAAGAACAGTTCTAAAATTGATATAAAAGTGGGAAAGAAGGGCGAACGGATAGGATAGACTAATGGACGAACGAACAACTCTCTTGTTACTATATACCACTGCTTTCGAATGCGGGGTATACTACAATATCACGTGTAATTGGATTAGACAAATCAAACCTAACAAGCTGATGAATGCAACACTACTTGAAATTATTTTCAACTTACAATGTAAAAATAAGAATTTTATGCTTCGATAATAAATCGATATTTAATCTAGGTAATAATTTTAGGAAACAATAGTTTACCAATGTTCAAATATCACAAGTTGAGTTAGAAAACAAAGCTTTAAAGGTAATAAAAAAAAGTGGGAGTCGTATGTACTAAAAAGAGCGAAACCATATACATGGGTATAAAGAATGTAAAATTGGATTGCAATATGATGGCGTTATTTCTTAGGACGTGTAAAACAATCGATGTTTAAATAATTTAGGTATTAGAGTTTTCGCCCTGTTTGTTGATTAGCCGTGACTATTTCTTAGGACGTGTAAAACAATTAATCTTTGAATAATTTAGGTATTAGAGTGTTTGCCCTTTTTGTTGATTAGCCGTGACGTGAAATTAAAGTTACATATAGACTATGACGTATAAAAATGATAATATTTTAATAAAATTACGTACATACTTTGTTTTGTAGTACAACTGGTGCTTATGCTTGACTTCCCTAAACAATATGGTGAAGGAGACATCAGACAAATGCAAGTATACGTGTGCTGGTTCTAAGGATGACAGTTGTGGCGACAGAATAAATTACTCTGTATACAGTCATGTCACAGGTATTTTTCTTAAATACAATTAAATGCAATAAGACATTCGTCAGTAAAACATTAAACGTAACTGCAGATGAGGGGGTGAAATTTAGTGAGACAGACACCCAACTACACAGTAAAACCAGAAAAGGCAATAAAAGGTATACTATTTCAACTGATTTTTATAGTTTGTTCTTATGTTGTACTGTTACACCACTGTCCAGGTTAGGGGAGTGTTGGCGCCTTCAAACTAGTTTAACCCCGCCATATTCTATATGTGCTAGTCCCAAGTCAGGAGCCTGTAATTGAGTGATTGTCGTTTTTTGCTGCTTTTCATATTTGTTTTTCGTTTATTGGTTTGATTAGTTTGTTCTTGTGTTGTGCCGTTGCACCACAGTCCCAGGTTAGGTGGAGGATTTGGCGCCAAAAAACTGTTTTACGCCGCCATATTCTGTATGTGCCTGTCCCCTTAGTCAGAAGCCTGTCATTCAGTGGTTGTCGTTTGTTGCTGTATATCATATTTATTTTTCGTTCATTATTTTGTACATAAATGAGGCCGTTGGTTGTCTCGTTTGAGTTGTTTTACGTTTGTCATTTCGGGGCCTTTTATAGCTGACTATGCGGTATGGGGTTTGCTCATTGTTGAAGGCCGTACGGTGACCTATAGTTAATTTCTATGTCATTTGGTCTCTTGTGGAGATTTGTCTCAATGGCAATCATACCCCATTTAATTCTTCTTATTTTTATATATACTATCTGCTCTTTTTCGACAAATTAACTATCAAGCAAGTTAGACTTATCATCGAGTTTGTACTATACACGAGCTACACAACGGGTGCCACATATGGAGCAGGATCTGCTTACATTTTTGAAGCACCTGTGTTCCCCGGGTTTTTAATGGGGTTCGTGTTGCTCAGTCTTTTGTTTTCTATCTTGTGTTTTGTAGACTGTTGTTTGTCTTTTGGAAGTTTTTCGTTTTCTGCTATATCATTGTCAGTTTGTTTTCGACTTATAAGTTTGACTATTCCTATGGTATCTTCAGCCTCTCTTTCATACAACAGTGAATTCCTCGGATCTGCCACGAACATCAACTTAAACAATAGTTACAATTCCATAATAGACAAAACGTCGAAACAGTAACTCACGATAACACTTGTGGCGGGTTGTATTTGCAATATCCAATAAACTTTTGAAGAAACATTTACATTTGTACGAAATGAAAATAAAATAGGGAACAAGTTTGCTGTTATGGTGTGTCTTAATACCGTTGTAACACCCAAGTACACATTATCTTTGGGTTCTTGATAAACATTGCTTACAATATTACCATACTCAAGTCTGGATTCTCAACTGACACTACTTCCTTATAATATGTATTATCGATTGTCTATCTACATAGTCCATCTGTTGATCTCATGTCTATTTTTTATGCCCCACCTAAGATAGTAGAGGGGCATTATGTTTTTCCGTCTGTGCGTCCGTTCGTTCGTTCGTCTGTCCCGCTTCAGGTTAAAGTTTTTGATCAAGGTAATTTTTGATGAAGTTGAAGTCCAATCAACTTGAAACTTCGTACACATGTTCCCTATGATATGATCTTTCTAATTTGAATGTCAAATTAGCGTTTTGACCCCAATTTCACGGTCCACTGAACATAGAAAATGATAGTACGAGTGGGAGATCCGTGTACTATGGACAAATTCTTGTTGTATACATGTATTGGACTGCTGTGTCATATACGTTTCTGTAGTTTTGTTTTTAACTTAAACGTGTGGCATTTCCGATAATACAACCGATGACTAATATTGTGTTGCTTTTGTTTAATGTGTTATGCAATTGAACTGCCGTCAGTGTCATAATGAACATAATTATTTAACTGCTTTAATACTGAATTAACTAGTGGCTTGAGTTAAACAAATTTTATATTATTTTAAAATAAACTTAAACACTTATTATATAATATTTAGGGAAAAGCAAACCTTTACAAGATGGTGATCCAAAACATACGTGTTCTGTTGTCATTCGTAAGAAAGTAGGATTCATACTGAAAGCTGTTGATTGTTCTAGACTCTACTGGACAGCATGTGAGATGCAATCTGGAGGTATTATAGTTTATCATTAAGGGATACAATTACAAGTATTTCTTTATTATGAACTTTCATTTTTTAAAGTTATGAACAAAATATGCTTTTTATCAAGGCCACAAGATCAGATATGTGTGTTTAAGGTTTTCTGATTTAAAAAAAATAGGGTTGGTAGGTAGGTAGGAATTTTGCTAATTGTTTTTATGGAGTAGAAGGGGATCAACTGCAATGTTGTCACGATTCACTTTCAAAGTTGACAATACATTACTTTTAAACTACAAACAATAGCATAGTTTTGGAACTGACGTGATCATGTATGCTCAATTAGGTTACGGCAAAACGTATGTTACAAGTGACGAAGTCTTCAAAAATGAATATTATTTATGTTCAAAAGCTATTAAGATTATGGGCCATGGATTATCCTACCGGTCAGCGATTAATCGATGTTCTCTTCATGGTAATTCCTTACCCACAATCAACGAAGATGGTGTAAACAACTTGGAGGAAGGAAAAATGTACTGGACAAATATTCACAGGCGTACATTCCTAAAATGGATAAAAGACGAACCGGTCAAGCAGATTTGCTGTAAGTTCATACAAACGAAATTAATCGTAATACCACATTTCGGGAAAAATGATTTTCTCCTATATTTTTATAGGGAAATACTACCATTGTATGTTTTATTGTATCAAATATAAGCAACACAATCAGTCACAAGTGTTTTATGGTCCACAGTATTTAGTAAAATGGAATATAAACCAGACGACTCTTGTCATTATGATTAATTTTATTCATGTGTAGTCATATATATCTTTTTAACAGAAGTGTACTACGTAATTCATTTGTTTCTTATTTTTCAGATAAAGTGCAAGCATCATTGGGATGTTTACTTGTTTTAAGAGAGGCAAATGGGGATGTGCAATATATTCAAGAATCATGCCAGTCTAAGTTCCCTGTAATATGTGACCAAGTGGGTGTCGAGGGCAGCGTCGACACAATGCATTGCAAAACAAGTAAACAATCATTATATGATGTAAAATTATTAGTTATTCATTACGTTATAAAATGCTCCATTTCATTTACATTTCTGCAAAATTGTACTGATGATGCTACCTATAATTAATTGTTTATAATGATATTGCGTAACCTAAGCTCACAATATCGCTGTAGAATAGCCTAAAAATGTTCTTAATTATCATGATTATCTAGACAAAAAATGTAACATGTTCAAATATTAACCTTGAAGTTTGGCTTATATTTTCTATTAGTTTTATATCTGATACATACTTTGAAATGAATACGAGTAAAGATTAAACAAAAACGCCATAAAACTAGAAATTGACGGAATACATTGTAAAATGTTTGTTTTTGTGTGTAAACGATCATTTCTTTGTTATTTCAGAAAATATAAGTACGCTGTATACAACGAACAGACCAAAACTGGTAACAACCTCCGTAACCGGCGGACTTCAATACATGACAAGGGCATATAAATCCACAGAAACTATTCTTGACACAACAAGATTTCACAAAGCATTTCAAACTCCAGGAATTTTTGTCAAAGAAACCTCCAAGGTTTCAAGTAAGGACCCTATGTATATAAGAGTATCGGAGATCGAAGTTTTTCAACAAGAGAGCCCCAGATATTAATCAAAATTTATGTTTTTTTTTCACGGGTTCAACCGAACATAAAGCATTTCTTTTCTATACAAGGCTCAATGACACAAAACACAAATATTCTATGGGATGTAGGTTTGCAGCATCCAGTCGTTTTAATAATACAATCGAAACATAATAACAACATGTGAACAAAAATTGAGAATGGCAGGTGTCACGCAAAAAACAGTCCTTATCACATTCTCTTCACTAGAAGTATGATCAACAGCCTGCACAATCTACAAAATACAATTACAAAATATTAGAAACAATTCACAACTAAATGAATGAAAAAAGAAAATTGAATAAATACTGTAAATTGGGCAGTGTACATGTGCATCTATTGAAATGTACGATTCTATAGAATTGTCGTACACGTGTGAAAGACAGTACTATACTAGAACAAAAATTGTTTTAAACAAAAAATAAAAAAGTCAAACAGACCCTAGCAGCAATTGAATTATAAACGTCTAGACTGGTTGAAATGCAAACCGTCGAATGATTTAAATTCCCGCTTAGTATATGCACGGGTGAATCCACCCGTGCAAATTACTACGCATAACGGTATTCGTTATACCTTGTAACGAAAAGAAATGTATAGATGTTTTACTGTTTTAATATTAATCTATAGATTTATCGTTCTTCATTTCTGTTCACCTGTTTTATTTGTTGTGCCTGGTAAGCGGTTCTGTCATTTGAAGGCTTCACAGGACTATCACATTTTCGTTTACTCGTTTCGTAATATAGTCATGGGAAAATTAATGGTCAAAAGAAAGAAAACCCTATTTTAAATGAACATTATCATCCTTCCTGTCAAGTTGTGGAGTGAAAAAAAAACATTTAAATGTGTTTTTCCTTTTCTTGAGAGAAATAAGATTAAATTTGCCTTCTTCATAATGCCGCATCTGACTCCTTCCTCTTCAAAGGTGTAGGGATTAAGTTCAGACTAACAAATGGTATTTTTCAACTGAAAACTATAAAATATATACAATTGTTTTTATTGAGAGAAACAAAATAGTTAAACTAGTAATGTTATTGAAGAAATCCTACATATATTGCGTAAAAGCATATTTATTAGACTAATTTTATTTCAGAAAATCTCAATTTCTTCACAACCCTGAGCAAAGCAGTCACTTCAACGACTTCCAGAACCGCCAAAGCAACGCTAGTGTCAAGGAAAACCAGTAAACTACAACCAGGTGTGATTATTTCTAAATGATATGCTGTTTAGGATGTCCATATTTTTTGTATATCAAACTTGTCTGTTCCCCATTTTTTTAGTTCCATTCTATGCGTCCTGAAGAAATCTGATATTTGATGTTCATAATTTTCTTTATGTCCAGTTAATTTCAACGTTTTTCATTGTAAGTACAAACAAGAATGGTACATACATATAAATGACATAGAACACTTTTCACTAATCCGTTAGTTAAAAAACAAGTCAAAATTCATGTAGTTAAACCCATTAATAAATAGAAAAACGAACACAACACTTTGCAAACCACACACGTCCGAAGCACCCTTCCGGATGATTGCCAATGAGACAACTCTCCAGCAGAGACCAAATAGAAGTAAGCAACTATAGGTCACTGTAAGGCTTTTCATTCATGTATGTTATTGAACTATATCAGTTTGTATTTTCCTCAACCACTGAAGGTTGAATGACGCCACGGCATTAAAAAATACGCTATAAAGTCTCTATAAATAGTCTAAAATTTCTTTATTTATTTTTTCAGTTCAAATGGCATGAAAATGTCCTGTGGATAATTTGCATCATCCTGAAAAATTTTCAAAATTTAAATTTTAAAATCAAAATGGCATGCGCATTTGGATTTCGTTCTAATAACATATTGTGTTCAATCCTCTTAAGTGTGATTGTTTCATATTGAGATATAATTACAAATGAATAATATTGTGGACCAATGTTTTCCATTCGTCTTTTTTCTGGTCATTCTGTTGTTTTGTTTAATTTTTGAAATTGACTTTGGTAACAACTTATTTTCTTTTTTGGATAGATTATTCTCAAACTACAACTTCAGAAAATCCGTATATGTTAAACGTGCAAAGCACAATAGTATACAGATACAAAACTACTACAGTAACTACGAAGGCACAGACAACATTGTCGACTACAACAAGTACAGATCTAGAACTATTGCAAACCACTACCTCTTCTCACACGTCCACAAATCTACCTGGTACATCATCAACAACTTCCACTAAAGTTTCTCTACAACCAGTACCCAGTAAGTTAAATAGCACCATAGTTATTTTCAAGATGAAAATTAAAAAAATAACAAAAACAATTTTGTGTTATTTTAATGATGATAACACTATTGTGCAATCATGCAGCTACACAAGTAATAAGCGACTGTCGCCTACTCTGTAACAGACTTTTATGTTATGTACTAGAATGTCAATTTCAAAGCAACTAAACTTCAGAAAGTGTGTTTAGAAGGGAAAGTGGAGTAGACGTTAATGTAACGCAAACGAACGACATAAAAAAACAATGACAGCATTAGACCAACATAGTCACACAATACAATCAACCATAGACAGCGGTCTATACAATATTTAAAGCGATATATCCAGATTTTACAAAAATTGAAAATAAATTAAACAGAAACTATTCAATAGATAGCCCATCAACACTAAAGTACTCCAAATATAAAGATTAATCGAGATATGACATAACATGTACGAACGAGGCTCCTGCAGGCTTGGGACAAACACATGAATCAGTGGCGGATCCAGAACTTTTTAAAAAGGTGGGGGGGAGGGGGGGGGGTCACTGACTGCCAAGGGAGGGGACCCGCTACAGTCATACTTCAGTGATTCCCTATATTATCAACCAAATTTTTCCCAAGAAAAGGGGGGGGGGGGGGGGCTGGGCCCCAGGGCCCCCTGGATCCGCCTATGTGAATATTTAACTGGAATACATTATGAGTATAATCTCAAGTTCCCATCCCTCTTTATTTCATTCGGTGGTCCAACAAACGGCATAAAAAGGAACACATGATCGAAGTCAGTGTAGGAAAACAATAAACCTTTTTATTCCCATTTATTGTAACAAAAATGACCACTACAATTGTCATTTGATTAATATTTATATAATAGTACATGTGCAATCTAAAAATGCATTACAATAAACGTTTCGATAGTGAAAATAACATTTATTAACCCGAAGCAGCAATCAATTATTTAATGTATAATGCACTTCGATACATTTACGTAATTATGAATTTCAATGAGAAATGATGTTGCAGCATCCCGAAAATACCATTACACCTAAACCACATCTTAAGAAAACAACATACGGTCTTCGAAGAAGAGGCAAAAGATTCCAAAGGGACATTCTAATTTTTAGGTCGAAAATAAACTGACAACGCTATGGAAAAAAATAAAGAACAAGACCAAATAACAAAAAACAGTATACAAAACACAACATGAAAACAGTTCAATTGTAATTACACAATCTGGACACGCGGTGAATAAGTTATTTACATTTGATTACTTTGTAACATGTAAGTGTGGGCAATTCTTTTCCTACTCATACATTAATTGTACGTGTAAGTAAAAAGATCCATACATAATGTTTGAATCCGTCATTTCTTAATTCATTTGTGCACGTTTTCAATGGTAGTAAAATTCTTTTATGAAGTAACCAATTATTTTATTTATCATATAATGGGGGAAAATCATTACAAATTAAAAAAAAAGAATGAAGTTAACATTTTCATACTGAATTTATTTTACATGTTTGTGATTGCAATTAATCAGTTTTGCGTTTTCTTCCGCTTATGTACTAGGTATTTGTTAATCTCTTAAATGTATAATTCAATTATCTAGGCTGGTGCAACTACTTTATTCAAATTTCTGTTTTGAATTTTTGTAGGTGCAGTTGAACTCTTTAGTGGCGTGAATACCACGATGAAGACTTCAAAACATGACAATGACATCTTTAGAACAGAAGACCTTTTTGTTATCTTCTATATTCAAATTGGTAATTGATATTTAACGGCATGGGCAGTATAATTGAAGTATATGACAATACATTATTGATCTTTTGAAAGTAACACCAAAACTAAGAAAAAAAATGTGTTTAGACCTTTTAATGGCCAAAAACAAAACAAAAAAATTAATGCAGAAATATAACAAAAGCACAACATTACAGTAACAATTGATCAACACGCATTATTAAAAAATTCTCATTGAATTACACAGAATTTCGTATCGTCTTCAATTTGGTCTTGCAAATTAACCGTGCACTAGTTTCTGTTGACCAGCATCCCATATGTGTTACAGAGAACTACGCTATGCACTGAAATACATTTGGACGTTTAATAACTGTTTATAACGTGTCCCTAAACAGTCGCAATCGTATAAGTTTACATTCCCTAGTTTACCGTTGTCGCGGAGAGATGGAGGTTAATGCGGTATTTACTAATATCCAGGCTTGAATGTAGAAAATTCTTTAAACTTTACAAGTCACCATTAACTACATGATTATAGAACTAAAAATTCGTCCATTTGCTTTTTTGTAATTTCTGACATCGTAACTTTTTACTTCAATTTTTTTAAAGGTATAGTAGCACTTGTTACCTTTGTAGCATTTGTTTTAGTTTGTCTCCTAACGTATATGTAAGTATTAACAGTTTTATTTCTTTCTGTTCACAAATAGTTTTATAGTTTCACTGTAAATATTCATTTGTTTGTTCAAAACAAGACAATTTACTACTAGTAACTTCGGGAAAAAACTACACTTGGGCATTTAAGAGCATGATATATTCTAAATATTAGTCTTTTGTTTGTTTTCTCGACCTGTTTTGGTAAGTTTCTGGGATGTTGTCTTTTAACTGTTTACCGACAAAATTAATGAGCTTATAAACACGACTTAAGATTTCTAAGATGAATGCTAACGAGGCTTTTATTTTCAAATAGGTAACAAACAAGCAATAACAGAACACTAACAAATAGAAATACCGCAAAAGTTAATTAGAAAGTAGCCGTACTGGCGACATATATCCAACATAAAAAGAGAAAGACTAGCGTAGGTCTTCAGCAATGGCAACAAGCTACAACATGTTGCGATCAGTTAATCGCATTTAATTTTGTGAATTTATTATCCAAAGAAATGACAAAAATATCTTAGAAACGCATACATGTTGTCTCAGTCACATCAAATGACTCATTCTTATAGGTTGGCATTTAAGTCTCATTGCAATAAAAAAAAAGTATGTTGCATGTTAATTTTCCAAATTTGGAAAGCAGTGTTTAATTTTGTTCTGATCTTTTAAAACCTAATTAAAATAATAATAAAACTATTTGTATTTTAGGATCGCCTTACTCCGTAGAGGAAGAGAAACAAAACAGAGCAGTCTATACGAACTATCTTCGCGAACTACGCCTGACCCAAGAATGTATTCACAGTTACTTATGCCTATTTCTCGGATATACAGTTCTGCTCATAACGATACTGTTGATAATTCAGTATTTTAGATTTCATTTTAATGGACGGTTACGTTCAAAGAATAAGCAATATATATATATATATAGAAAGTATGATACGCTGCTTCACGATAAAAAAGTACCACTGCATTTCAGTTTTGTTTGTTATACAGAAACGTCAACTGTTAATGATAAAGTCTCCATTAATGTCGACTTTTGATGCAACAACGTTGAATTTACACATGACAAATTCAATTTCGTAAAATGTCAAGCATGAACTGATGCAGGAAGGAAAGATAACTGTTTGTATATTAAATAACGTCTAAAAATAAAACGTTTTCAACCCTTTAATTGGACTTATTAGTAATGAAGTAAACTTTTAACGAAATATACTGATGTGTTTACTCTACCTTTCTTTGAAGGTGTGTTTTTTTTAACGTACATTTGCTAGTGGAGCGCTCCATGAGGTTGAATGCGAATAGACCTAACTACTTATAACGTCCGGTGGTGAAATCATTGCTGAAATTTGACGTCCGTTTTGCCTTTTGGTATATATAACAGGGATTTAGGACGACCCTGCTATAACAAATGTTCTGGGGAGTAGCTCACAGTATAAGAAAATAAAACATCAATTCGGTTACCAAATATTATATTAATTCAATTTCAAATAATGCCACAATTATTGTTAAACACAGTATAAACCATACATGTAAATACACGGCAAAGTCCAGTATAAATGTTTTGTGCACTACTGGTTTCCGTATACATATAAATTCAACATCCGTGCCTTAGTCTGTCGGGTTCCCAACTAAAGGTCACCCTAAATCTGAATTGAACTATCTACTACATGTAATATTACATCATTAGCTATAAACCAACAAAATACAAAAGCACCCTAAGTGCATGTTAAGATAATAAACTTATCACTAAAGTATTTAGACAATGGACAATGACAAACGGATTATAAAGTACGTAATGTCAAAAACGGTGTAATTAGCACATACATGTAGTTAACGTCTTTTAAGACTAAAATGACTGACATGCAAGAAAACAGAAGAATTGCCTGAAAGATAAATTAATTAAATTAATGATTCTTAAAGTTTCTATATGTTCACACTAGAAGTAAATGGAAAATATCATTGTCACATATGTATAAATACGCAGCAACGTACGGTCGGAATACTAACGTTACATTCTGTCGGGTAGGTTAAGTACCAAGCTCTTTGGTAGTTAGAGAGTCTTAGCAAGAACTCCGAGGGGTCGTGAGCTACCAACATATCCTAATTGTCAAGCGGTAGTTCTATTTCATGTCCTTCATGCCGGTTGACCTACCTATTGAATTAATTGTTAGTTTGGTTATATCTCGAATATGCACGAAATATGTTCACTTAACGTTGAGCAGGTCTAATAACAGCTGTACATTTGGTTGTGATTGACGGACTACAATGAGCACCCTGCATGCATAGAGAGCAATACGCATGTTCATGCTATAATAAAAAACATACTCTGTACTAGTTCGACATGCTGACTCGAATGTTCACCATATTCTAATAGTGTCTTCATGTCTCATCTAACCAGACTAGTCTAGTATACTATTCAAAATAGTTGGCTTGAACCGTACACGGGATAACACCAATATTCCCCAGAACGGGCTAAGGACGCTACCTTCAAACCACCAAAGCGGCTCAGTGGGAAGGGACGTGATCTTGATATAATTCGATGTAAAATATATTCAAAGATACCATGTCGTAAGTCTTGTCATAACATGCTAGACCCTAAGACCGTTCAAGAACATTGGTCTAAAACTCATTCGCAATACCAAGAATAACAATAGCGTGTAATGAAGCAAAACTACATAATTATATTCTATACATACCACCATCAAATTAAACGGTAGGATACGGGTAATTGTTTGCTTGCACTTAAATTCAATACATGTGACAAATTATTAGGACAAAACAGCAGAACAACACCGTTTCTAAATATAATCATATTTGTCTGAATGTCAACAACTGACATATTGACATTTCGTTGGAAAAAAAATCGTCTTCGGAGTAGTTATTGCTCCATTTTTAGTTTTCTATGAAGTTTTTTGGAAATATGCTCATCTGTACGTCGGTTTTCATTTTTTGCCATGGAGTTGTTAGTTTTTCTTCGACTTATGTGTTTGAATGCTACCTTGGTACCATATGGTTTTTCCGCCAGTTTTTTATTGCTCATATATACACATAATTATGTGTAGATGTAAAATAAGACATCCTTAACGACATTGAAAAAGTTGTTCTCTCCCTTAAATACACGTAGTTTGATAAAGTAACACAAATTCCACCATTTTATGATTGACATGTGTAATTTGCCAATGAAATGCTTAGTTGAATTTTGTAGATTAACATGTTATAATACTTGGTACATTTAAGGCGAAAATGCTTTATTGCAGCATTTGTCTGTTAAAGTATATCAAGTTTCCAGTTAGGAAACATACCGCATCGATATTATCGAAGTAAAGTGATCGATTACTCGAGTTTTCGAGTGTGGGAAGTTGTTGGTTTGATCTCCAATTGGCTATAAGTGACGACTCCTATGTTACAAATTTTCAGTCATAGCTTATTCTGAAAGTGATGTCTGTTTTGAATTTTCTTTTAACAAATGGATACATGTATTTATCATCTTTCTCGTTGGTGTTCTTTTTTTAAACTGAAATTAATCTATGAAATTAATATAATGACCCGTCTCTTAATGTCAGGATGTTGAAAAATTATTTATTTTTAACGTAACTGTACTAGATGGGAAATTGTTTGCTTCAAGGTTAGGTTTTCAGAACCATCTTTAAGATTGTCGACAATTGGTAGACACTCCAGAGAATTAAAATTGCACCCAGATGGTTATAAAAGTGCATAACAATCAATGGTAAAATTCCTCCAGCTATTAAAAAAAGCTTTAAATCGATTTTTAGGATCTGAACGTCAGTAGACTAGTGTTGTTTCATGTTTGGACATGGAGATGCATTGGAGTCAAACTAGTTTTGTTAGTACTAGTACATAAACTTACTCCTTTTGAAATGGATTATTGGCACACAACTACATATTAATCTTAGTCCCGATATGGCATGTTGACCCCTCGACGCGTCTTCTTGGTGTCTGTGCCAAGTATGAGGCCTGTAGTACAGTGATTGTTGATTATCGTCTGTCAAATTCTTTCATGGCGACAGTTTTCACTCGTTGATCGTTTAACAAGATATTATTTCTGTGTTCTTTATGGCTAACTATACGGTAGGTGGTTTGCACATTGCTGAAGGCCGGACCACGGCTTTAACGTATCAAGTCTTTGCCATTTGGTGTTTGGTTAACATTCGTAAACATATACTTATTTTTATTTGCATGGAAAAAGCTCTGTTATACTTGTAATGGGAGTGCTTTATTATTGTATATGTGTAAAAATTGTATATTTTTTTTATTTTAATTTCCTCAATAAAAAAACAATGATATTTAAAATTACCACATAGCAGTTTACAATAGAGACAAACTATATATTGTTTATCAAAATAATATATGAAAAAAAATAATTCCATTAATTGATGAATGACAGGAAATGATTGATAATATTTGAATTATTGAGTGACAGGAAATAAAACATTGTATGATGTGGAACAAAATGGAATCTAAAAGTATTTGGATGGTTGTATTTGTATTTTTCTTTCCCTGGAAAGTAAAAACAGGTAATTGCAATACATATCTTGATTAAACACGTTTTTAAAGTAAAATGTTAAAACTAATTTAAATATAAACAATCTAAAGATATAGTAATGGTTGAAGTAATTAGCATCGTGTTAATTTTGGTAGTGGTGGAAAAATTCAATACAAAATGACAATCAGTAAGACCAGGACCTAAATATATGATACCGATTAAAATGCGCACGAAACATATTTCCTGTATTTTGAACTCCATGGTCATGATGGTGTAAATTTACGCTAGATTGATTAATTATCATGATTATGTGTTGTTTGCTTAACGCTCAATGATAAATAGTTTATGAATATTTACGCTGTGGTCTTGAGTTAAGATTGCCAATGGGATTTTGTTAAATCGAACTAAACGGTTATCTTGCCGCTTCATCGCGATAAACAGTATATTTCGTTACGCGTTAGTTTTTTAAAGGTCCAGTGACAAATATTACATCTAAATAAATAATACGCATGATATGGCTTATTGTGGAATGCTTTACTGAAATTAAAAAGCAACATTTCAATGTTAAAAAAAAAATATAATACGGAATTAAGATTTGAAATCTTGCAAAATCATTATAATGTAAAGCGTTATGCTTCTCCACTAACCCAGATTTTTATTGTACTTACTTAGCCTATTCGTGTGCGTTTTGTTAACCAAGTGCTGGAGGTTTAAAAGGAAGATTAATTTGATTTCAGAAAATATTTGTACTCCACCACACATTCATGTCCCTATCACAATCCAGGAACCTCACCAGAAGATGTCATATTTAATAGATTACTAAGTAATTCAAAGCTTGGTGACTATGTTGAACGCATATACATATATCCTATCGAACTTGAAATAATTGATACACAAGATACATGTTAGTCTGCCTCATATCTTGACTTACATCTAGAAATTTACAACAAGGGTCAGTTGTGAACAAAACTTTACGACAAAAGAAGAGGATGTAAGCTTCCCTATTGTAGCAACACTCCAGCAGCGACTGCATATTGGGTATATACATGATATATCTCCTAGTTGATACGATATTCCAGAGCTTGCATACCCTATCGTGATCCCCTTGATAAAAGGTTGATGCTTGGGTGAAGTTGAAGTCATCCATTCGAACATTTTACGGACGCCATCAAGAGTTGGTTGACCGATATGGAATATCTGTTTCGTTGACGGATGCAATATATGGAGCAGGATTTGCTTATCCTTCCGGAGCACATGAGATCAGCCCGGTTTTTGATGGAGTTCGTGTTGCTCAGTCTTCAGTTTTCTATGATCTGTTTTGCCTACACTACCAGGAATTTATACAGCGTTTACATGTATTTTAAATGCCACTACAGTACTGGTATAAAAAGTCATCAATCAGTACATGTCTTACTCATATGTATTCAGTACAATTAATTGTATGTATGTTTTCAGAAAGCAGAGAAAAAGTTGTTTTCAGTACTGAAAATTTCAGTCGTTTTTCAGGACTAAAAATTTTAGTCATTTTTCAGTACTGAAAATTTAATTAATTTTTCAGTACTGAAAACTTCAGACATTTTACAGTACAGCTAAATTTCAGTCATATTTCAGTCATATTTCAGTACTGCAAAGTTCATTTATTTTTCAGTACTGCAAAATTCGGTCAT